ATAATCTATAGTAAAACGCTGGAGGATCACATAGATCATTTTGAGGGCTGTGTTCTCACGGCTTAGGGAACACCAGCTGTATGTCAAAAAGGAAAAATGTGAGTTTTGTCGCCAAGAAGTGATGTTCTTGGAACATTACATTAGCTAGGCAAAATCCGGATGGACGAGAGGAAGGTGAAGGCAATTGTTGATTGGCTTGCACCAACCAAGGTGTCTAAACTGAGGTCGTTTCTTGGCCTAGCCAATTACTACAGCAAGTTCACTGAAGGATATTCAAAGAAGTGCAATGTCCTGACTGACTTGCTGAAGAAAGACCAAAAGTGGGATTGTAATGATGTCTGTCAGACAACTTTTGAGAAGCTGAAGTATGCAGTATCCTCTGCACCTATACTGAGATTGATGGACTTTGATCTGTCTTTTGAAGTGCACACTGATGCCTTTGACCGCGCCATTGGAGGAGTCCTTGTTCAAGAGGGACACCCTGGTTACCTTTGAAAGCCGAAAACTAAAAGATGTTGAGCAGCGATATTCAGCACATGAGAAGGAAATGACTGTTGTAGTGCATTGCCTTGAAATCTAGAGGCACTACTTGCTAGGAACGAAATTCACTGTTGTGACAGATAATGTGGCAAACACTTATTTCAAGACCCAAAAGAAGTTGACCCCGAAGCAAGCCCGAGGGTAGGAATTTCTTGCTAAGTTCGATTTTGTATAGGTACACAAACCTAGGAGGCAAAATCAAGTTGTTGATGCGTTGAGTAGGAAGGAGGTCCAAGAATATGTTGTTGCACTGTCCAGTGTGCAGACTGACTTCCTGGCAAGAGTCAAAGAACGTGCCCAGACTGATGTTGCTTACGAAAAATTGAAGCAGCAAGTTGGCAAAGGTCTGGTGCGTAGATAATAGATTGATGATGATCTACTCTATGCTAAAGGGGGCAGAGACTCTATGTTCCTATGGGAAGGGAACTACGACTGGAGTTGCTGCGTGAGACACACGACTCTCAGTGGACTGGACATCCAAGAGTAGAGTGGATGCTTGCATTGCTGACACGCTCTTATTAATGGCCCAAGATGGAAGACGATGTTGAAGCCTATGTTAGAACCTGTCTAGTGTGCCAACTTGACAAGGTTGAGAAGAAGAAGGCAACATGGCTTGCTACAGCCCCTACCCATTCCTGACAGACCGTGGCAGTCAGCCTCGATGAATTTCATTTGCAATCTACCAAAGGTTGATAGCATACGTTCAATCATAGTGGTGGTCTATCGTTTCTCTAAGTATGCGGTGTTCATTCCTGCACCTCATGCTTGCCCTGCAGATGTTGCTGCAGAACTGTTCTACAAGTACGTGGTAAAGTACTTGGATTGCCTGAAGATATAGTCAATGATCGTGATACCAAGTTCACTGGCAGATTCTGGACAGTGTTGTTCAATCTCATGGGTTCTGAGTTGAAGTTCTCTACCGTAAGTCATCTCCAGGCTGATGGACAGACTGAGCAAATTAATGCCTTGTTGGAGGACTACCTGCGGCACTATGTCACTGCAAGTCAAAAATATTGGGTGGAGCTTATGGACACTGCCTAGTTTTGCTACAATTTGCATAGATCTTCAGCAACAAGAATGAGTCCCTGTGAATTGGCTATGGGACATCAGCCACTTACTCCCCATGAAGTGGTAATACAGAAGACCGGAGGAAAATGTCCTGGTGTATATTGGTTTGCCCATTCCAAGCAGGAGTTGCTTGACGAGGCAAAGGACAGCTTGGCCAAAGCTTCCCGACGAATGAAAAAGTATGTTAATCAAGGCCGCAGACCACTAGAATTTTAAGTTGGTGATCTAGTTTTGCTGAAATTGACTCCTGCATTATGAAAAAGGATCAACAGCAAGGTAGTACACAATGGGCTGGTTCCCAAATACGATGACCCCTTCGAGGTGATGAAGAAGGTCGGGAATGTTGCCTATCGCTTGAAACTGCCTGATCGATTGAAAATTCACCCAACTTTTCATGTGAGTTTTCTGAAGCCTTTTCAGGAAGACTTATTGAATGCTAGAAGAAAGCAAGCTAGGAGGGCTCCGCCTATCATCAGGAAACAATTTGACAGAGAGGTTGACAAGATTCTGTCTCACCGAACCATGGGTAAAAGTAAGAAGAATCACAGGACTGATTTTTTGGTACATTGGAAAGGGGGTTCTGAGGCAGACGCAAGTTGGGAACGAGATGTGACTCTTTGGCAGTTTGAGAAACAGATTAAGGAGTATTGGGACAACCTCTCGACGAGGACGTTGAGCTCTTCGGGTGGGGGTGGTTTGTTACCCCCTTAGCCACTGGCAGCATTTGGCATCAGGTAGCCTCGCCCATAGGCACCCATACCTAAGCCAAAATGGTAGAAGTCCTATACATGACTGAGGAAGGCAGTCCATGCACATGGGCACGTGGGCGAAAGTCAGCATGCAAGCAAGGAAGCGGGCGGCTTGAATTATGGGGCGATGCTAGCTTGAAAAATGAGCCATGGGCTGGGCCATGGTTAGACACGAATGTAATGCAATTCGGATGCTGAGGGCTCCTGACACATGCACAACATATGAGGAAGTTGGGAATGTGCTCTGCAGTTCTGGACAATTTTCTGGCAAGTGCATTGCATGTGGGATCTATGTCAGATTCGGACAAGCATGCAAACACAGGTTATAACTTCCTTGTCATCCAATCACAGCAGACCTTTGGTAGCATTTGAATTACAGATATATGCCTAGGCAGTTGGGCTTGTAACTGCCACCCTGAATATTATAAATAAGGTGCTTGGGGTCTGTAGTGCAACAAGAGAGTTGGCACGTTTTTGTAAACAAACCCCAAGATTGAGTTTCTTATACTTTATTGAGAAAGAAAGGTTTGGCTGTTGCCTATAAATTCTGTGTGTCTTGCTTATGTGTTTACTTACTATCCATTCTCTGTTCTTTGTGCATTTTGTGTGCAATCTGAGTGTTTGGCTGAGACTAAGTGTTGGATCTTAGTGTTATCACAAAGCAGAAATTTGGTGAGAAATTTAACCCCGTGACACTAGGCAAAGCGAGGAAAAAGCGAGAATAGGCGAAGAAACGAACAAGCGATCGCCTTAATGATTCTTCTGGATACACGCTGAAGGCATGTCCTCTGATTCTTCTCCTTTTCTACTTTTTCTCCCTTTTTTTTTCTTCTGATTTTCTGGTTCTTATCCTCATCCTCTTCTACTTTTTCCCCTCTTCTTCTGATTTCTAGAACTCTGATGTTGATTCTGTTGGAACCTCTTCCTCTTCTACTCTATTTCTACCATTTTTCTTTTGTTGCGTTTTTGATTTTCTGATTTTGTTGGACTGTTATGTTAATTTGTGTTCAATCTAATTCTGCTATGTTAATTTGTTCTTAAATTGTGTTCAATCTGTTTAGATGCTGATTCTACCAAACTGTAGTGTTCATCTGTTAATTTGATTCTGTTGTTTAGATGTTGATTCTACTCCTGTTTGATTATCATACATTATTAAACTAAAATATTTACTTTTTTTTTTAATTATTCACTTCGCCTCCCACTTCTAGGCTAGGCCTCAGAAAACTTGTTCGCTTTGATTCGCTTTACACCTTAAATAACACTATCACAGATAACAAATTGAATAAAAATTTAAGAACAAGTAAAACTAAGGATAAAGACAACAATGCCAATGCTAAAGAGTGAGGATGAAAATCCATCAGCTAAGCTAATATTTTGGTGAGTTGAAATATAATAAAAAATTGAGAATGCGAGCTCATTACTTGTCATATGGTCACAGGGCCCAAAATCAATGGCCTATGGAGATATAGATGAATTAGCAAACATGTTTTACCAGACTGGGTCAAAGTGGCTATGGAAGTAGAAGTAGATGTAAAAGCCCCAGACTTGGAAACAAGTGGATTATACTCCTCCTTTGACATAGATACAATCTCTAATATAGATGAAGGTTCACTAATACCAACCCGTCCTCAACCCAACTCATTTGATGAAGACACAACATGAGCATAAGATGAGGGTTTGCCATGGAGATCCCAATAATAATCCACAGTATGTCCTTTAAGTTCACAATGAGTATATAGTTTCATGGATCCACGACCTCTACCACCACAACTATCCACTGGCTAACCACCACCTCCTTGTTGACCACCCCGATTACCTCTTCCACCACAGAAAAAAAGTATCATGAGAAAATTTGTTATTCCCTTGATTATACAGTTCGACTAAAACCTAGCGGTCAAATATACAAATACTACTATCTGAGGGAAGCCCTTTGAATATGAGAAAAAACTTCTAATTTTAAACCTGAGAAGAAGCGAGCAACCATTAACTCCTCACGTTCTTTTTTCTGGACCTTCAGCTCAGTAGAAAAGGGTTGATAAGAATTGAGATTATTCATAATATTTTGAAGAGCAGAATAGTACTCTGCAATAATCTTATCACCCCGCTCCAAACTGAACAACTCTTGAAACAGTCAAACAACTGATAAATTCTTATAATATTATCCTCTCCTGAAAATAATTAACTAACCGCAAGCCATACCTCCTTAACATTTTCAAGAGACATGAGATGAATAATAATTTGAGGTTTCATACTGTTCCATAATAAAGTTACCACTAGTGCATTCTCCACCTTCCATTGCGTAAGCTTGGCATCAGATTCATTGGGCTTATCCTCTGTAAGATATTCAACTTTATTTTTGCAATCAAAAAGACTTCAACAGAACGAGACCATGACACGTACTTACTGTCATTCAGCTTAATAGAGGTAATAGATAGGCTCCTGACTCATCATTGACCCAACAACAGTAGGATTAGACTTATTTTCTCCCATATATCCATTATCCAGTAGAAGAAAATAGAAGAAAATCACCGGGAACAACAGAAACAACTGGTTTTATATGCTGCAGAAGTTTTTAGCTGACTTATCTGGGCAGCAACGCAGCAAAGGATTCCTGAACCAAGACTGAATTAGCCTGGGATGGACCTAAAGAGGTCTGAAATACGCAGACCTAAATTCAGATGGTCTGAACCGGCCTGGAATACACAGGACCAAATTCAGATGGTCTGAACTGGCCTGAAATAAGAATGAAACTACCTGGAATGGGCCTGAACCGGCCTGAGATAAACTGAATCGGTCCAGTTTCCGTCTGAACCAGACTGAACAAGAGCTAATCACCTGACTGCAACTGGACTTGGGCTTGAACTTAACTTGGGCTTGGCCTGACTGACTGCAACAGATTGGGCTTCGGAGCTCAATAACATCAAAATCCAACCTGACTGAACTCGAGTCTTGTCCTCAACCTCTATCGACGCCAAAGGAAACTCAACCAGCCTCACAGCAACGAAAAGACAACAACAACCCAGCGTCTTCAACTCTACTGCAACGATCATCTCCAATAACTTCTTCGACTCAACTGCAACGCGTGGAACCTCCGACAGTCAATCATCAACAACAACAACGCAGTGGTGTTGTTTACTCCACCCCAAGGACGAATCAACAATGGCAATTCAAAGGTGGTCAGCAAACAACGACTCCACCCCGACGATGAACAGGAACTCAACAGCAGTGATTTCCTTCCCGAAAGCTACTCACAATGCGTGGCTCTAATACCATGTTAACAATATATCGATCGATCGAGAGAGACGTAATTGAATAGGAAGAGAAAAATCACACATTAATTGATCACAAAGAGAGTTATATAGTTACAAATATGGAAGAGTAAATTACACTTTACCCCCTAAACTATTACCCTTGTTTCACTTTGTACTCTTAACTATAAAATTTCTTACATTACACATTAAAGTATCAATTTTGTTTCATATCAATCTAATAAATAACGACAAATTTGAAAATCTTTCAAAGGATGGAGGGAAACCACAAAGAACTTCCTGCAAAGTGTCANATCCTCTCCTGAAAATAATTAACTAACCGCAAGCCATACCTCCTTAACATTTTCAAGAGACATGAGATGAATAATAATTTGAGGTTTCATACTGTTCCATAATAAAGTTACCACTAGTGCATTCTCCACCTTCCATTGCGTAAGCTTGGCATCAGATTCATTGGGCTTATCCTCTGTAAGATATTCAACTTTATTTTTGCAATCAAAAAGACTTCAACAGAACGAGACCATGACACGTACTTACTGTCATTCAGCTTAATAGAGGTAATAGATAGGCTCCTGACTCATCATTGACCCAACAACAGTAGGATTAGACTTATTTTCTCCCATATATCCATTATCCAGTAGAAGAAAATAGAAGAAAATCACCGGGAACAACAGAAACAACTGGTTTTATATGCTGCAGAAGTTTTTAGCTGACTTATCTGGGCAGCAACGCAGCAAAGGATTCCTGAACCAAGACTGAATTAGCCTGGGATGGACCTAAAGAGGTCTGAAATACGCAGACCTAAATTCAGATGGTCTGAACCGGCCTGGAATACACAGGACCAAATTCAGATGGTCTGAACTGGCCTGAAATAAGAATGAAACTACCTGGAATGGGCCTGAACCGGCCTGAGATAAACTGAATCGGTCCAGTTTCCGTCTGAACCAGACTGAACAAGAGCTAATCACCTGACTGCAACTGGACTTGGGCTTGAACTTAACTTGGGCTTGGCCTGACTGACTGCAACAGATTGGGCTTCGGAGCTCAATAACATCAAAATCCAACCTGACTGAACTCGAGTCTTGTCCTCAACCTCTATCGACGCCAAAGGAAACTCAACCAGCCTCACAGCAACGAAAAGACAACAACAACCCAGCGTCTTCAACTCTACTGCAACGATCATCTCCAATAACTTCTTCGACTCAACTGCAACGCGTGGAACCTCCGACAGTCAATCATCAACAACAACAACGCAGTGGTGTTGTTTACTCCACCCCAAGGACGAATCAACAATGGCAATTCAAAGGTGGTCAGCAAACAACGACTCCACCCCGACGATGAACAGGAACTCAACAGCAGTGATTTCCTTCCCGAAAGCTACTCACAATGCGTGGCTCTAATACCATGTTAACAATATATCGATCGATCGAGAGAGACGTAATTGAATAGGAAGAGAAAAATCACACATTAATTGATCACAAAGAGAGTTATATAGTTACAAATATGGAAGAGTAAATTACACTTTACCCCCTAAACTATTACCCTTGTTTCACTTTGTACTCTTAACTATAAAATTTCTTACATTACACATTAAAGTATCAATTTTGTTTCATATCAATCTAATAAATAACGACAAATTTGAAAATCTTTCAAAGGATGGAGGGAAACCACAAAGAACTTCCTGCAAAGTGTCAAATACCACTTTATTTTACCTCTTTTGCAACCAAATAGTTGTTGGAAAAAAAAAAAAGGTCGGTCAGAGGATGCAAATTTGAAGCTTAGAAAAGACAAAGTCGTGGATAGGTTTTCCTTGATTTTTGGCCTGCACATGTATAATAGACAGTTGCTTATTAGCAGTACAGACTACTCGCATGCGTATTTACCGTTAAAAATTGACATTTATTATCAATTGGAGTGATATGAAATAAAATTAATACTTTAGGGTGCAATGTGAGAAATTTATAGTTAAGGGTGCAAAGTGAAAGGGTAATAGTTCATGGGGTAAAGTGTAATTTACCCCATATGGAATAGGGTAATGACTCTACTGCCCCTAACTCACTAACAAATGTTAATGAAGAATCATGTCTTTTTCTAACCATCTGCAGACATGTTACACCATTTAAGGTTAATATTTCTCCAAATTGTCATTCAAGTCATTCCTAAAACTGTTAAAGATTTTAACAAACTTACAGTATATTAGAATTGAGAAGTATACAGAGATCACATGCAAATCTTAGCACATAATTTACGTTTTTGAACTATGACAAGATGCTATAACTATCCATGTCGAAAGAGACCAAACCGAAACCTCACGGTAGTCTATATAGAGCAATAAATACCTGCTCCCGCCTATCCACATAAGCCTGCAATAGTTCTCCTACATGATCTATAAATTTCTGAAACCAAATGAAGACAATGCTATTCTGAGAATAAATTTAATATAAGAAGCATATAATAAAGAAAGATGTTTAAAGCAACAACCCACCATTGCATTTGAAGAGAGGAGTTCGTTCTCTGCATCACGTATCGGCAGAAAGAAAGGAACTGTATGTTCAAGGACAGTCATCTTCTCAAGAAATGACTTGCTTTCAAGCACACAGTGGTACAGTTCACAAGGTTCTCCTACACAATAAAAGGAACAGATGAATCTATTTCCTAATTGCTAAGTAGATGAGAAAAATCTCCTTATTGAGGATTTAGCAATTACAATCTGTGCGCTAGTGTTTTCTAATAACAGCTTTATAAATGGATTAAAAATGATAAGCCCTCATTTATACCTAATGATTCTGGAACAAATGGAAATGTTCTTTTCGGTCTGCCAAAAAGATCCATGGTCAAGAATAAAATTTTTCAATAATCATAATGTCAGTGAATAAATTGTATCGATAGGATCCATAAATTGCAATACAAAACATTAAAACTTCTGTTCTCAGGCTTCATGGTTACCAAGGAAGAACCATTTTCCTTCAGAAAAAGACATCAAACAGCATTCAAGCGGGTAACAATCACTTGGTAAAACATTTTCCACTCAAAATCATACAAAAGGGTGGATGACAACTTCCCACAGATTGTAACAAAAACCTCTTCCATGCGAAATAATCTGCCTGTTCAAGACTCTACACCAGAAAGCATAGCAATCATGATGAGCCTCTCTTGCCTCTTTTTGTTCTTCTTTGTGACTCCCCAATTTCTACAAGATATAGAACGTTTAGAAATGGTTAAGGAAACTCTCATAGACTAGCATAGCAGCCACTGGACATACTACGGCATATTCCAATCATGTTGAGCCTCCAGTTCTCTCTTTGCCCGCCCCTCCCTTTTTAAAACAACAATTTTATGTTACCAACCCAGATATTAATTAGAGATGTATAGGAAAGTTCTCACGACCAGTACACTGGTTCCCTTTGATTGTACAACAAAAGCAATTTTGTCAATCCATCACGTGTAGATGCCAGAGAAAGCTCAAGGACATAAAGTATTAAAGGATTTAGATGAACCAGGAAATCAAGGAATTGTGGTACAAGCTTTCAACAGGATATCAAAGATTGTGCCGAACTTCATTCTGATAAGCTATAAATGTTTCATACCACACAGACACTAACGAGAAGCAACAAAGTGCTCAAAGAATCATGTATGCACGCCTTCCAAATACTCCAGTGTGTTTGAGGTCTTTACTCCCTTCCCCCTCCCCAAAAAAAAATGCACATAATCAACAAAAGTGGAATTCACAGTATTGAATGAAAAGATTGTGAAAAATATCCAATAATGTTTATGGTTACCAACGAGATTATCACAGGTCCACATTTGATTCCCAGTATAAAGACCCTGCCATAAGCAAGGACTTTTACGTAAAAACAGGGATAGGAAAAGAACAATTTGCAACCTAAAAATGGGTCCTATACCTAAATTTCTTACATTCAAAAGTAGGAATTCATCCTCCCACCCCCATCATAATATGATGTATGAGGAAAAGGTCAACACTTATTTAACTAGTAAGATTTATCAAAAATATTGTGATAAAGAAAATTATCAATAACAACCATAAATATAACAGCACCCCCAATACACTAGCCCTACTTTTACAACGATGGTAATGCCCAATATGAAAACTAAAAGAAACTCTTTCTCTTATTTCAAGGAAAAGGGGTGGGGACCAGTGTTTTAAAAACCGGCCCAGCCCGGCTGGTTGACCCGAAAAACCAGTGACCCAAACACTAAACCGGGCCGGTTCTCTTAATTGGATCGTTCTAACATAAAAACCAGCCAAGATTTGTCAAACCGGTTGGGTTTTGCCTTAACTGTTCAAACTAGACGGGTATATGAAAACCAGCTGGATTAGAAAAAGACATAAGTTAAAACATTTTGAGATATTTGCCCTAGGTCAATCGTCTTTGAGATCAGATCTGATAGATCTCAGTCAACTCTCTCTTTGTTATTCGTCTTCGATGAGTTCAAATTCAACATCGAATTCGGTCTCTCAGACTCCCAACAAGCAGTCATTATTGAACTCGATCATCTCCGTCAATCTCGCCGGCTTGAATCGAAGTAGGGTTGGAGTTTTGCTTCAAATACTCTTCTCCCCGGCATTTCAGATCATCTAGCATGTATTTGGGTTGCAAATTCCAATAACAAAACCGTTGTTTATGTCAAGAATCAAAATTTCGTTTCAGTGCATTGTTTCAATCATTTAGGAAACAGAAATGTTTCAACGTGTTTCGAAAACGTTTTAACCTGTTTCGAAAACATAATAAAAAAATTAAGAATTATTTTTTCAAAACATTAATCGAAATATATCAAAATATCTTGAAATACCTTGAAACATTCCGAAATAATTGTGTAAATGTATTGAAATATAACAAAATATATTGAAACATTATAAAACACCTCGAAATATTAGAATTTTAATTTTATCATTGATTTGTTTCGGTCTCCTTGAAAACGAAAACATTTCGAATGTTTGAACCGTTTCGAAACGATATTTTGATCTTTATTTTATGTTGTTTAAATTTGTGTGTCCATGATATTGAGTTTGCGTACATGCAGTCTATTTGTGATATTCTTATTAATTAGTTATATTCTTCATACTAATTAGTGATATTCTTTATTATTTTTCATCTTATTTTTTATAACATTTTTTAAATGAAACAGAAACACATACAAGAATTCTGAAAAGTTGACAAATTATTGAAACCTATAAAGCTTCTAGTTATGAAAAGAAAAATAGAAATGCAAAAAAAAACCATTGAAAAGAAAATTTGGAAATTGTCTTAAAAGAAAATAACATGTTTACAAATTGCCTTAAAAATCGGATACATTAAATGCATGTTTGATATTTTTTGGATTTTGTTTGATCTAATATACATTACACATGTTATTTTCATAATTGTTATATAATTATTTAATATATTTTTATTATATTACCAATCCAATTAGTGACCCAACAGTTGAACCAGTGACCCATTGACCTGAACACTCTCCCGGATTAATGTCCGGGCCGGATATTAAAACTATGATGGAATGATTTCCTTTTTCATGTCTTTTTCCCCTATCAGCTGCAAGCAATCACTTATTTCAAAAGCAATCACCATTTACAAAAGCATAGGAGATGAAACTTTTTTTCCCTTCTCTCCTTGGTTTCATGGATTTTTTTTTTCAAAAAAAGCAGTTAGAGAGGATTTCTTTTTTCATATCCTTTTCCCCTTGGAGGGCTATCACAAATTCCAAAAGATCACTGTTTGAAGCACACATCACTTTCAAAAGCATAGAACTTTCAAACTGACTTCTTCAGGACATCAATCACGAATTCATAGAAGTGAACATGTCTATGTATATTCTACATACTGGACCCAATAATAATATGAAACAACATTCCTCAACATATCCATAGTATGTGCACGGGAGATTTTCTGCAATGAATACGGATAGTGATCCTCTTGATGGTGAACATGAAACAACCAAGAGGTTAGGAAAAAGGGGTCGGATGAACATCTGGATTATCCCCTCTGAAACTTAAGTTAGTAAGCGTTGGAGGCTTTAGCACAGTATTTTTCTCAGTTCAGTTTGCGTATCTTTGTTCATCTTTGTGTGGAGTATTTATATCTGAACTAGCAATGAGTGCGAGGGTTTGGATTCTCACCTCAACATTTAATGACTTGAACTCTTATTCATGCGAAATGAGTGTTCTCCACTCAGATTCTCACAAATGGTTTACTCGGGCAATAGGTTGATCGCTCGGGGAACGCCGAGCATTTATGACCCTATCCCCAATCATTTAAGTCCATCTGATCAGCGTTTGACACCTACTTCCGAGTGTTTAATGCTCGAGGAACAATACCTCGAAGATTCCCGAGGACATCTGGTCGACGCAATGACCATTAATGCTTTGCAATGATGGCTGTCAGTTTGGATCTCGAGAATACAGAGGCTCATTAATAGCCCTGTCATAGTCACTCAAGTCCTCATTAATGAGCTATCATATCTCCTTAAATGCTAGTCCTAACCTCTGTAATCGGCTCCTCTCAACCATTACTCCTCGACGCCATCTCCCGGCACTTTTTGAGCTCCATAACGGCTAAAAATAACCACGTGTCAGTTTGGGGGCTACTAAGCCACCTGAAGTCCCGTCAATATGCTACCTTAATTTGTTACGAAAATGCTAGTACATGGATGGAAACTATACATATTCTAGTAACTCAACATGTTAGACATAACAATGGCCAGCTTACCAACTAGGAACAACCTACGTTACAGCCTTTTGTTTCAGATAGCAAAACACCTACATAATAGTTGTCAAAAACATTACATGTGGATAAAGGCTTGCATGATACTAGACTACATCGTAAAAAAATCATGTAGAGCTTTCTTATACATTACCAGCAAATGATGCCTCATATTGTATGCCAATCCTTGCTCCTTCCAGACAACAGATCACCTGCTCATTGAAATATTAAGATAAAATTCGAAATAGGAACATCAAAAACGGGTTCAGATCTTTTATTCCTTCTTATGAATACATAAACTGTAGCCATGCGTTATTAGCTATTAAAAAGAGATTGCTACCAGTACCATGAGGAAATGAATCTTCATATCTCAGATATAGTGAAATCAATCGAAGGCAACCAATATATAATATTTTAGGGACATGTAAATATGTAAATATCTGACCATATAAAATAAGTAGTTCAGTCATTATTTACCTTATTTCCAACTTTATAAGTAATTTTTTCATGGAAAGGACTTGGCAGCATGTTCGGTTCCCCTGGCAATTGCATGGCCTTTCTTTCAGCCTCCATGTGAACCTGATACAAAACAGAAATAGATAAATAGAGACCAGATATAGTCTTTTTAAAGAAGCAGCAGCTACAGGAAAAATAAAATAAAATAAAATAACTCTGGTGTTCAAAAAGATTAGTTATTTGAACATAACATACATCAACCATTTCGATCATCTAATATTTGGGTTTGAAATATGTATTTTATGAAACAAAAAAACTGTTAAAAATCAACTGTTTTGATTCCCTAATTTTATGATTGAAAGTGAAAAGAGAATATAGGGAAATCAAATCACATTTAAGGATTCCATGAAACCATACCTGCTCCCTTATTGTGGCTAATAACCCATCATTCCATTGTTCACCATCCAAAAAAATTTCTGCAAAATAAATCCCTACTATTCATAGCAGCAACAAAAAATATCAACTTGACCAACATGTAATAGATATACACAGAATGTGCATATATATAAATATATGTTCACACACACACATATATCCTCATTAAAGGGCGGGTGATAGGGAGTGGGAGAATAACAGATATGTTACAAGAGTCCAGTT